TTCCAAGTGCACATTAAAGACTTAACGAATGAACATCGCTAATTGCTAACTAGTCTTTTTCAAATAGTCTTTATCGATGCCTAAAGTAAACTTATCACAACGAAATGGCTGTTGAAGTAAAGACATCTTTAGATTTTTATTATCTTCTTTACCAAATCTGACTTTAGAATTATATTTTCAAGTGTTAGTTAGTTAGTTTGCAGGGATCTGATTGGTTTCCAGTCTGATCACGAACTGACCTCATGAACCCAGGGTATGGATTCTACTTCTGGTAGAGTCATGGGTGTGTACTGCTGAACGGTCCCAAAACAAGGACGACATAACTATCCAGTACTCCTTGATTTTCAGTGTTTCTCTAACCGAAATCAGTTCTAGAATTCAATTTCGATACTGTCCTAACTATGGGTTTTAGCATTTACTTGTGGTGGAGAAGTTATCTGTTGGTTATGTCATAATAGGCCAAAGGAAGGGATAATGACTGTACGAACTTTTTGAATGCATAGTTTAGGTTTAACAGTTCGAATGACTATCGCCTCAGCTGTGTGCAGTAGACGAAGACGAAGTCTATTAGAAAGATTCGGTGGGATACGATGAATTACTTTGAAAGCCGCCGTTTTCTCCACTACATGACCATTATCAATTAAATGTGACAAAATTAAGCTACAGATTGTTTTTGTCTGTCATTTGCCAAACCACGATGGGTGATGTTCACTAACACGTTGGCTAAGCTGTCTAGTAGTACGCCCAATGTAACTGTCACCGCAGGTGCAGTTGAATTGATAAATGCACATAGCTGTAGCAAAACTATTTAGTTTATCCTTTATATATATATATATATATCGATTGGAATGTCAAGTCAGAGAAATAGAGAAATACTGCTGTACTTATGTCGTCAAAGTTTTTCAAGAAAACATGGGTCAGAAACTTGGAGCGTCACTAAAAGCATTTCGAACAGACTGAAGATTTTTATCGACAGCTGTCTTCGCTCCATATTGGAGATCAAATGGCCAGAAAGAATTAGTAATAAGAAACTCTGGGAACAAACTAATCAAGAACCTATTGTTCAAAAAGATATTCCGAAGAAAATGCACATAGATTGGGCACGTGTTGAAGAGAGCGTTGAATGACTTGGGGCGCTGGGCCATAGCTCGAGTAGAACTCGGGAGTGAGACGACCAGTTAGCCTTGGATGCAAGGGTGACATGAATGAGGTCGTACGAAGAGGAGATGAGAAACTACGGGTAATCGTTGAGCCACATAAACACGATCGCAGAGAATAAGACAAAGTGGTGACGTGTTGTTGAAGCCTCATGCTTCACTCAGAACCCAAGTGAATAATAATATAATAATGGCGACAAGATAATGAGATTTCTTATATTAAAAGATCATGGATAGAGTTAGGAGAATTATTAATAAAAGTGCTAGCAAACACATGAAATATTAAGAAATATATTGTGAGTTAAGCTTATTTGGTTAGATATCAGATATATTAGGTATGACGTTTAATAAATAATGATGTAGCCAAATAAAAGTGAGCAGAAGTGAGCATTAACACTTTATTTTGCTTTTGTTTTATTCGAGAAACTTCGATTTCATTAAATACAAGAGTACAGCAATACATTTCGACTCATCTTTATACCATGATTATTCTTTATTATTGTTCTACACTTCATCTTCAGTGAACTAAAGTATACTGAAATTTTCAAGAATTCGTTTATAGGGATAGTATTTGTTTCAGGTTAGAGTACGGATTTACATCAGACAGCTGTTTCATCCTTGTTTGGAAATCGTCAGCATTACTCACCTACTGGGTTTCGAACCCAAGACCTTCCAGTTACAAGCCAAGCTCGTATACCATTCAGCCACTGGGACCCCCCTATTCAATGGCAATTCCATGAGTTTTAACTTCTACCAATTCGTGATTTTAGCGCGACTGGCATCAACCAGTATCATTGGTGGGAACTTCATACTCACTGCCGACTGGATAGACCCTACCAGTCATGACTTCTCACTAGAACTCCAGTCAACTTCTTCGTGTAGCCAGTCACAAGCGAGCATCAGACTAATTTTCCCGAAGTCGTTCGTGGTGGCCCTAAAATCACGAATTGGTAGAAGTTAGAATTCATGGGATTGCTATTGAATTGGGTTCCAGTGGCTTGGATTGTAACCGGGAGGTTGTGGGTTCGAGACCCAGTGGGTGCGTAATGCCGATGATTTCCAAGCTAGGATAAAACAGCTGTCCAGTACACCCTGGTTTTCAGTGGTTCTCTAACTGATATATTAAAATTTCAAGTTGTATGCAGTTGATAAGATACCGATGAAATAAAATGGATACGTTCATTCTTATTCTGCGTGTTTCTGGAGCCTTTCTTTTCAAATTTACTAGGCGGAATTTGTGTATAAAATTTACGTCATCTAACAACTAAGTCACGGGAGGTCTTGATGATTTGTTGATGATTTCCAACAATGTGATTTCTCTTTCCTTTAAGACAAAGTGACAACTTCGAAATATTATTCGTAGATTAATTTACATTTCCCGTTGATTGATTGTGTTGGAAGGAAGGTCTTGGGCTGTGCTGACATCCTGGTTCCCAGTACAAACGCTCTTATAAAGGCTGAAGATTAGCATGATGTCATTCTGGTTGATGGTAACCAGCAGTGGAATCTAAGATGCGTATTTCGCTCTACTTGGGACTCGTCATATGAAAATACCTGAATTCCATATTGAGTGATACTGTTCCCACCGATAGGTGTCCGTATTAGGAGCCGGCACGTTAACAGAGACTATGCATTTCGTCCCAATACAATCAATCAACGGGGAGTTGTGACCTAAGTGGTCTAGCGGATAATGACTTGATACTTGAAACGACAAGCTCGAGGTTTGCGTCACATTGAGAATATCATTACTCAGTGGGAATGCAGATACGTGCAGCTGATGATTCTTGAATAGTAAGAAGCACGCATTATGAATTCCACTGTTAGTCACCATCAATCCAAAATAAAATCCAGATATCCTTGGAAGATTAAAAAATAAATTTGAAGTGATAATAACCCCCTCTTAAATGTAGTTCATTTACAGTAATTACAATTGATATTTTCATATAAAGCTGATAAATTTCGAAGTATGTTTCATCAAAATATGAAGTGAGTTGAAGACTAATTAAAACAAAGAATCATCAGTCAAACGTACTGTAATTGTTTGAGACTCATTAGTAGTACTCACCTTATGTTTAAAGGACCCCCCACCCCACCCCTTTCATTTACTTTGCTAAGGAGAATCGTTTCAACTACAGACGGCACGGATGAAGATGTCAAAGCCAGGAGAGGAAAAGTAAGACGGACTTTCAATACTCAGAAATCAATGTGGAGATCTACTGCTCTCAGCACAAAGGACAGGATATAATTGTTCAACACTAATTTCAAGTCAATTAGTTCACAGACTTTGAGCGCGTGTCACGAAAAGCATTTCTAACAAGCTTCAAACAGACTTGCATCAACAGCTGCCCAATTAAGGGACTAGATACGCACCGAAGAGACTGTTGAGTGATATCGCACACAAGACGAGTCCTTCGGTGGAACCTAAATGGGGAGGAAAGAGTTTGGAGTCCCAGGATTAAATGAAGCGATTCGGAAACGAAACCGCAGAACCAGTTAAAAAGAAAGACAGCTGAGAACAGAGTGAAATGGAAATGTGCTACTGAAGCCCTGTGTTGCCTATGGAACCCAATGGAATAATGATATGTCTAATGAAGAATTCACTTCAGAGTGACCACATCAAATCGATATCATTTCATAATGGTAAGTATTTTGAAATATAATCCTAACTACTGACTTGTTTCAAGACAGACTTCCAGAACTCTTAATAAGAACACATTACGGTTGAAGTGAATCAAGTTAAGAATATGAAAATCCAGTCACCAATGGCAGTCACTCTAGATTACTGGTTGTCAGGAATCAACGGCACCTGGAACTTAATTTCAAGAAAGTTGCTGAAAAACGAACTGCTTACAGTAAAGTACTAATTAACTAATTTTTCCTTCACGTTCCCCAGTGGAACATAGGGCTTCAAGCTGGTAGCTTGAAGTTTCTGCAGCAGTGTTTAATTTTACAGGATGGGGTTGCTAGCCTCATGCTCAACTTTTTTTTTCACCATCATTATTTCCGGCTTAGCTAGGTAAAGGAGTGTGTTGGCCGTGAATTAAATCCCGGACCATGTACATGGTCATCGAGCGTCCTAACCGCTGTGCCACCAACGCACAATAAAGTATAACTATCTTTAAATTAGTTTCTATGAGGACAGGAAGCGATAGCTTCGTTGCTCCTTTATTTTACACGATCTTAGAACTGACTTTGATACCTACTGAATTACTTCTTAGTTGTACGTGTCTTATTCATTGAGAAGTAGTAAATGCAGAATTCGGATAAATATTTTCACTGTATTGTTTGAAATCACCTGTGGTTTCAAGATTGATTTTACCACATGGTGATATCGGATAAGAAATTAAGTAGTGTAGGATACATTTCCGTAATCTAGTTTTATACTCTTCAACACCGTGTAATCACAAAATTATCAGAATTTGGAATTGGCATTATCAGTTTACCAGATTACGTAGTCAGTCTTCGAATCCATTTTCATTCATGACTCTAAAGCTTTGCTATTTAGGAATATAGTGCACGCCTATCCAATTGCATCAGTCAGTAACCATCCTTACATGCAGCTTGGTTGACCAATCACAATTACTAATTACAACTATTTGGGATCTATCTCAAAGTGAGATATTAGTAGGAATAAGAAATACAGAAAAATTCCCATTGGATAACGTAAATTAAAATTTCCCTACCACTCTCTCCTGTGTGAAAACAACAAAATTTTTAGCCGTTATGCCCAAAACACGCGTTGGTTTCTGATTGGCTGAGACAGTCTGACTGTTTTTTTATTTTATCCAATCAAAATCAACACGATTCAAATTATGCTGGATATCATTCATATTTAAGCCTGTTCGCTAATAATATTTTTCAGTAAAACATTGTGTTAAATATCTCCCGAAATTATGTCGTCAAATTGTGTAAAAAATCTACCTCCATTTCAAAGAATATCTTCAATCAAACGGAAACGTAATCAAACAATAAATTCACTCAAAGGATTACGTAAACATACTAGAGATAGGGTACATTTAAAAACATCACAAAATAATCGTCATTTAAAACCACATCAGATAGAATGTGAACGACTCAAAGAAATTTTGCCGACTGTTGCGAACTGTGAAAAATTAGATGAAGTAAGTTACCTCACATGTTTTATATATTTATACTTTTATAATTTATAATTTATGTATGTGTCTTCACTAAATCATAGGTAAAACTACATAAAGTGTGTTTTATTAAATAACAGTATATATTCGACTGCCAGAAGTGTCATAGATGAAACAGGTCATTTGCAATTAAATGAGTGAGTAATGAAGATGGAGTGAGCAGGCAGAAAATGCGAAACAGAAAGCTTCAGACGAACGATTCACTAGTCTACCCTGTATGCTACTCAGTTACATCTTTTTCAAATAATAATTAATTCACGGTTTTTTATAATGAAAGTGGTCTTTTTATGGTAATAATGGCTCAGATTGTTTTTAACCCTTGAATTTCTGTCAGTATCTGTCAGTTAGTCTGGTATTAGATGGTTGAAGGCAATCGGCGGGAAGCCTTACTCGACCCAAGTTTCATGCTAGTTGACACTCACGGTCAGCATGGCGCATATGTAACCTTGAAGGAACTCGTCTCCCCTCTGAGATTCGAGCCCACGTCACCCAGTACTGGAGTCAAAGACGTAACCACTGACCGTCTCGGGCTGCTTTAGGGCTGTATTGGATAGTTTTGATTGAACACTAGTCAGTAGTCAGCGTAATGTGTCTAGCCTGTCAGTTAGTTAATTGAACCATTCAATATACAACAGAGCAATCATTTAGTACCAGTGTGTGTGAGAGAGGGTTAGTGTTTTACAAAGTTACATCGACATTTTCATCATTCAGCTGGTGTTGTTTGTATTCTGATCTAATTTTAATTGGTCCTGAATGATTCCATGAATTCTTTAAGCCGGAGAATAGTATTAACAGTGACCGATCTCATTACCTTCATAGATGGCTGAGTAGAAAATCATGACCACTAATCATATTTATTTAGATACCAGTAAATATTAATTGTACCTGAGTGGTTGAAGGATATAATTCTCGTCAGCTACACAGGAACTTTGAGTTCATTCCCAGACTGACTCTTAAACCTCGACTAATTCACTAGATGGTAGTAAGTTCAGAAAGGATAGAAGGATAGGCGTAAGGTTAACGATCTTCCACCGTAAAAGGATAACGCCGTTGCTGAAATTTCGAAGAAGCCTGAAGCTTTATGTTCCACTCAGGACTCAAAGGAATAATCCTATTCTGATCTTGTTAATAACTATTCGCCCGTGATGTCTTAACAGTACTACAATAAACTTCCAAGGTTAAACATAAAGTCAACTGATCTACACATTCTAACTCTAGTTATCTAAACATATTTTATATACCCATTCTTACTTCTGAATAATTCATTGTCACTGTAGTTATTCTCCTTCCTGTCTGAAATCATTTCATGACGAATAATATTTCCGAATTAATCCATTTTTCCCTTTGTAAACTAATCAGGCGAAAAATATGCTTGTCTTTAAAGTCACGTTCGTGTAAATGAAACAAACATTAATATCATATTAGTGTGATATGTCACGTTTCATACATTCAAATCTTTGGTTACATTTTTTTGTGTGTGACTGTTATTGTTGTGTTTCTTTCTGTTTGTTAAGCCTATATTCATGTCGCACATTTGACAGCTTCTCTTTGTTATATGTATTCTATTATTTATTGCATGTGGACAACAGTTAGTTTGATTTTATTTACACTTTGAAAAATCAGGAGTTAAACACGTTTATGACTAAGACAGTGGTCTACAACACAATCAAAATGATTATGATTAATTTTCTCAGTGGTCTAATTCCACCACTTGATAAAAGTACGCCTAAGTAGGATTAGCGTATATATTATTCCTTTACGTTTACGTTCCCAGTGGAACATTGGGCTTCAGGTTAGAGGCTTGAAGTTTCGATAGCATTGGTGTTTATTTTTACAGGATGGGTGGCTAGCCTCATGCCCAACCGCCCCTCTTTACAAGCCTTATTACTGGCTTAGTGAGGTTTGGGAGTGTGTCGACCAGGGATCGAACCTCGGACCATATGTGTAGTCGGCGAGCACTCTACCACTATACCACCGAAGCTTAAGGGTGTATAATTCACTAAAATGATTAATGTGGAAGTTAGTTTGCGTTACATCCAGGCAGTTGAAACACCTCCATAATTCTTGACGATATCAATATGAATCACAATTCACAAACTTTACATCCGAATTCCTCTTCTGTATAGATTAATTACTTCACAAACACAAACCAGCTTGTTACAAAGACCAACCTAATCTCTTTTATTTTCTATTTTAAAACAGGTGAAAATTATTCAAGAAGCAATTAAACATATAAATCATCTGGAACAGGCTGTACTTCAGCGATTAAATATTGTGAATACACAAACAACAATAGAAAACAGTAAGTTTTATTTCGATTATTTAATTCATTGGAATATTGATTATCTAAATATTTCTTTATTAAACACTCAGATATTAGAGGATTTATAAATGTCAAAAAAGGCGAATGAAGCCAGGCGGCATAGATTACCACTCCTTACTAGGTCGAATCAACTACCAAGTATTAGTTGTACTTCCACTGCCAACCAGGCGCCGTGATGGCGTAGTCGCGGTTTAGTAAAAGGTGAACTTCCATCCCAGTGTGAGTATCTTGCAATGACTGTGTTTCGAAAACACATAGATCCTTGCATCTTCCAGTGACCCTTGAGACTTCAATAACCAATCACAACTGTAGGCTACTTCAGAGGTAAAATTACAAAGACGCTACAACAATCCAATATTCACTCACTAGTTTTTAGTGTTTTAACAAGTCACGTGATTGACAGTCACTAAATCAAAGAATGATTATTTCAGACTAGAGTCATCTTCTATCAACACCTAGAAATATGACGTTTAGTCTGCCAACTGTGAAAAGTAAACACAACAACAGCAACAGCTTAGCAACTAATTATTTAAACTCAGAGTTTATCTTTCTTAACAGAACTATTTATTATAATGCTGAACATATGCTTTATTCACACATCACTTTACTTGGCATTACTCTAAGGCAGTATGTAGATGCGTAGACACATGCGTGCTCACTCAATAAACAAACCTGTGATTTACACAAGTTCATTTTGGACATATGGAATAAGTCTCAACAACAATAAAATCATTATTATTATATTAGCAGTTATAAAATTAATCGTTTAATCAATTCCTCTAACCCTCCTCATACCTCCATCCACCTGTTTACATGTAAACTTATTGTAGCCTAGGGCTAAATCTCATTAGAATAGGTAATGTAAAATTTTCTTATCTTTACTATACCTTCATTTTAACAAAACGCATGAAAGACGTTCATGATGTGAAGATAGATATGTATGCATATAGTGCTGAGTGAAGGAGTGCTGTTTTATATTCGTCATTCGGATGTACCTCCATTCCCAGGGAGCTGACACTAGTTAGAGAACCATTGGAAAACCTGGGAGGACTGAACAGTACTGGTCCAATTCAGGCAGTTAACCTGGGGTTCTAGTGGGAAGCTTTGACCAGTAGGGTGCATTGCGAAGCGGTCACGCTATTTCATGAATTGGCAAAAGTTCGGATTCTTGAAATGGCCATTGGATCGGGTCCCAGTGAGTGGTTTAATGGTCTCCAAGCTCAACTTTCAACCAGGTCCTGGGTTCGAACCTCGGTGGGTGCTCACTGCCGAAGAGTCCCAAACGGGGATGAAACAGCTGTCCAGTACTCCTGGGTTTTCTAATGGTTCTCTAGTTGATGTCAGCTCATTATGAAATCCTCCAGTCAATCAAAATGAAATCCCTACAAAACTAATACTTGTAAATTCAGATTTATGGAAACATACTGATGAAAACAAAAGGATTATGTAACTGGCTTCTGAAGACTTTTGACGATAAAATCGATACCGAGCACGAACACATCCATGTAATCGAAACTAGTCCCATTTATACGTCAGTTTTAAGTTATAACAAACTTAGCTTTCGTTCAAATCACATAATAATTTCTCTATATATATTAATTATTATTATTCTATACTTTTTTCTTTCTTATTCTTTAAAGGTATTTCAAATTCATCTTCCTTGCTACCAGCCTTCATTTTCAAATTATTATCCAGTCGAAATAATCTCTCCCAATCAACACCCGAAAAGAATCAACCAATGCATACACCGCATACTGATCCTAATTATAAAGATCAATTTATCAGGAATAACAGTGATATAGGCTATCAACATAACAAAAATACTTTATCAAATATGTATGATGTGTTGAATTCCAGTGGAAGTACACCATACCAAACTGATGAGGATATCGATCAAATGAATTAACAAATATTTTGATGTTTTGATGATATAACTGTACAGAAATTCAAATTTTAAAACACTGGCGCCTTGTAAATAAAATGGCTATTTGTTAGACAATTAAAACAATTAAATTGTATATATTATTGTATATAGTGGTATATATATTGTTTTTGAATCAAACAATTAAAAGAGATTTTCATGAATATGCAATAGTCTTTTTTTTAAAATTGAAATCAAGTTATATTAGTCAATGTCTTTGTCTGTATCCATCACTTGTATCGAAGTTTCCAGAAGTCCTGATGAGAAGTCGTGACCAGCGGAGTTCCCTAAGTTGCGTTTGACAACAATTCCTCACCGGTGGCTAGTGGTTGCGTTAGATGCCGTTAATCGGCAGAAGTTAGGACTGATAGACCATTAGATTCCATCCTAGTAACTGAATAATCAACAGTTACGCCTCTTAACCTAAAGGTCCAGGTTTTGTTTTTCAGCAGCATCTTGGTTGGGTTATGCCGAATAATCCTAAACTACATTGAACTATCTAGCCAGTATCCCTTGGTCTCTAGCTTATGTCAGTTTGTGATCTAACTTGCATACTGTGCTATATTTTGCAATTAAAGAGGAGGATCAAGCACAAACTCTTCATAATCACCTTTCAGAGGGCGAAAATTGTTTCGATGTTAGCCCTATTTTTTCAAGAAATTCCATTATTTTATAATTATGAGAATTTATTAGGCTTTATTTATTCCACTTTCCTGGACTTATGCTGTATCCGTTTTTCTGAATATTGAGCGATTAATAAAAATACCCCCCTTATTTGAACTGAACGATTAAAAACACAGCATATTGAATTAAGTAGGCTACACATGCTGACATAAATCATGAAAGTGCAAATATATACGTCTTCAAAATCTGCCGTCTGCATATGCGTATCAAGTAATATTTACTCCTACAGACGGACTCTGCCGGGATAATTAGTGTCAATTTCTTACAATGACTTATAAACACTCTTCCAATATTTTTTTCTTTCCAGTGATGCTGTATATTACACTCACTTGACAAGGTGTTTCAACCTGCTAATGTCATTGAAAAATAAATGATCACATGCTTCTGATGAGGAATATAGCTTCAAAAAAGTTATCCGTTGGACAGGAACTGAGATTCAGTTATTCTCTGAATATGACTGTCCACTGTCTCTGATACACAGCTTCTATTAGGTGTAAATACGAGTAAACATTTTCCACTAAAACTCGTCCAGTACCCTTACAGATGTGAGCATTGTAGCATAATTCCAGCTAGGTGTAAGTGAACAGTCAAAAGTTTGACGAAAATATATAATCTTCAAATAAAGATACACTGCAAATTTTTATGACAGTGAAGAGTCCCAGACCAGGACGAAACAGCTGTCCAGTACTCTCAGTTTTACCAATGGCTCTCTAACCGATATCAGCTCATTATGAAATCCTCCAACCAATTAAAGAAGACAAAAATCCCTACAAAACCAATACTTGAAAATAATAACAATAGTTTGAATTAAGCTAATGATCTGTGCGGCTTCATTATCTAGCACATACAACTGAGGAATAATAGTTTCGTCCATTCCTTTCAGGAATAAAAACACTAAATCCACAGTTAATGTAAATCAGAAAAGTTAAACTATTTCATCGTTGGGCAGTTGAACCTTGAAATCAATAAGTGACAATTCACCTGCCTTAAGTTTTTTGAGAATATTCTAGCAATTCCCTCATTGCCATCTTTATGGGATCATCTAGCTTAAAATTGATGTTCTACCTGTCAATTTCAACATATTTGAAAGAAGCAGTTACCTCATTTTCGGGGTTATCAAAAATCCATGATGATTAATGCTGAAAATTCCATTCTGTATCACAAGTACTGTTTTTGGAATAAAGTAAATCATTATTATTATTATTATTATTACAAACATATTTATGTCACATCTAGGAGTGGATATACAACTTTTCTAAGAATAAGGCAGTTGAAAATTGAAACTTGAATAATGGATTGATACCTCTACGGAGAGTCATGGGTGAGTAATGGATACCGCCGAAGAGTCCCAAGCTAGGACGAAACTGCCCCGTGATATTAAATGGTTCTTTAACAGAAGTCATTCGGTGTTGTAGTTTGAAATCAATCAAATCTCTGCAAACCAATACTTGAAAACTAATTGTATGTCTTACAAACGGACAGTGTTTCCATTAGTTAAACTCTGTAGTATTGGATCGAAGACGATTATTTTGTGGAAGGAGATCGATATGATGATGACTGATATGTCGTTATTCCCTTCAAAAAGAACAGTGACTTAATGATGTATCATAGAAACCAATGGTTAAGTAAGCAACAAAGTCTTATATTAACTCGTATTTCTTCACTAAGGCACTTGTATCTCCCAACGGTCAAAAGACACCACACTGAATAAATGTGGATAGTTAAAACGTACTATGTGCAAATAAATTTATTTTAACAAAGCAAGAACTACAGTTTTAGCAGAATAAAATGGTACCATCTTTTATTTCGTTGCCTTCTCGTCAGCTGCTTAAATGGCAAAGACATTATTAAATATATCTACAACAACAATTTTAACATACTTGCACAGAGTTAAGTTTAAACAAAAATCAATCGATCAATATACTCATACACTAAAAATATATACATATATAAATACGCAATATTAACCACTATTCCGAACAATAATAATCAGACACAATGGAAACTTTTAGCATTTCACATTCGGAGGAAAGAGAGGTGAAATTATCCAGTTACCAGGGCAAAGAAAGGCTGATAACCGCTTCTTTCTAGACGCATAAATCAGGTTTCAGGCGCTTGATGGAAATGGCTTCAGCAAACTTAAGGAGAATTGAGCTATTTTGCTTATTGATAATTTTGAACGACTTTTCGACGTCCACCTCATGACCCGTGTCGAGAAGATGCCTGGTGATGGCACTGTTTAAAGCATTTGTTCCCTTTAGACGTAAGCTTTTTGGTACAAAGAGTACTCTTTTCGATAACTTCATCATCAGGCTCTACAGTTATACATACATAATAGTGAATGAATGAATTAGTGTTATTAACAACATTAATGTTGTTTAAATAACATTGAAACAATAATAATGATTGATATCAATGGATTATAGTTCGACAGCATCAACATATCACCGTACACTGAATATCGAAGAAATTAAGAAAGATAATAATACAAATTTATGAATTTATAGTCTCTACTGAAGGCTGGCTAGGGTAGTAGTAGTAGTGACTGGACTTACTTCTTCTACACACAAAAGCACTGGTTGGGTGGAAATAGCTATCCCGACAAATTTATCAAGAAACAAATGACAAAGAAAGCGGAAAAGGACTTCTCACTATCCGTAAATATGAAGCCTTTATACATGCAACTACAATTCAAGGTCGATATACCTAGCGAAATAATCACGAGCAAATTAAGAAAATCAGTTAAAAGAACTTTTAATGCTGGCAAAGTACACGTCTTATTTTCTATACGACTGATGGTGATTCCTCGATTGAAAGATGAAGTACCTAGACTAGACTAGCCACTTGTAATTGTATCTACCAATTCAACGGAGCTTGTGGAGAGAGTTATATAGGTCGTTGCTCTAGGAACTTCATTTTTCGTACTCACTCGAGAACATCTCCCGGTATGGCTAAGTAAAGGTGTAGCAAAACCCACCAACAGTTCAACATTAAACCACCTGGTGCAAACCGGCCACAAAGCCAGCATTGAAGAATCCTTCTCTATCATCTACCGGGTGTCAAATAAATTGTCAAAAACATCGAAGTAACGCATGCTTCAAACAGCAGAGGCTGACGTAATTCGTGTGAAACAACCAGTGCTTTGTATGCAAAAGAAGCAAATCCAGCCACTACTACTGCCCTAGCCAGCCTTCAGTAGAGACTAGAAATTCATAAGTTTGTATTATTATATTTCCTAATTTTTCCGACACTCAGTCTATTGTTATGTTAATGCTAATGAACCGTAATCTGTTGATATTATCAATTCACTGCTATTTAAATATTAATGTTGTTCATAGCGCTAATTCATTCACTACTATATATAACTGTAGAGCTTGATGATGAAGTTATCTAAAAGAGTATTCTTTGTTCAATCACCATTCTTTTGAAATTTATTTTAATTAAATAATAATCAAATCGACTAATTTCCTTTTGTATTCATGAGGATGCCTGAAACTCGGATTGTGAATTTTGAGTATTCTCAAATCAGGCGATGATTTATAAGAAGAGGAATTCGGTCACTGTTTTTTGTTTCTACCTTTATGTTCCCAGTGGTACAAAGGGCTTCAAGCTAGAGGTGTGAAATTTTGGTAGCAGTTGTGTTCCTTTTACAAGGTGTGGTTGCTAACCTCATACTCAGCCTTCCCTCTTTACCAGTCATATTAACTGCTTACCAAGGTAAAGGAGTGAACCACAGCGGACCACACACGTGGTTGGCGAGTATTCAACCGTTAAGCCACCGATGCACATTTAGGCATTGTGGTTGAGAGTAATTCCATAATAGAGTAATTCTGTTTGACAAAACACAGTTATATACTATTATTTATTCACTGACAACCTTTCCAGCCCGATTTATAGCTCATAATCGTAACTCGTTCACATATCTCATTCACATAATTTTCAAACTCTGATTATATACTTCCATTTTATTGGTTTTATCAGTAGTAATGTTTTCTATATCCCTAGTACCGGAGTTTTATCATTCCTGTTGCAAGTGTTTCGTGTAGATTCGATGAACAAAGATTCGCTAGTCAAATACTCCGCCCTTCACCTACCTAAATTACTTTTTAGAGGTATAACTCTAGCCCACTGTATATTATGCGATTGTGTGTTAGTCAGTTCATCCATTGCGTTTGCTGAGTGTTTTTCTCAAAGGAAGTCATCTTTCTGGAGCGCGTTATTCTACACTTAACTAACCCAACTGACAGATTAACTAATGAGATAAAATGTAGCATATATGAATTAAAATGTTTTCAAATGGATGCGTATTGATTGATCCCATATATCACTGACAAACAACTGAAGAATGGCAGTGTATATTGGTTACATCTCTATACTTCTGAATTTACTAGAGCAACACTTTTGAATATATATTCATCAGTCAACACACAGCAGTGCATGCGACTTCTTAATCTCAATCAGTGTTATCTTTTAAATT